CATCCAGGACTGTAAATACAATTATTATAATTTGTGCAAAAGCGACCTGTGAATTACCTGTTCATACCTGTTTATAGTGCACTGTAAACACTATCTAGATCCACTGCATACATATATAGCCCTGTAAATGTTTTTTAAATGTTTTTATTGCTGCTGGTTTCTCTGAGAGCTACCAAAGTTTCATTGTATAACTACTTAAGCAGTAAATTAACTTAAGGATAGCTTGAGCATGCAATTAATGTGATACAAAGCATAAAATACATATGTAGGCCTTGTATTGAATGGTCCATTAATGCTCTGTGATCTTTCTGAGTGTTCACTGTTGTTTCCTCTCTTCACAGATACCTCTTGTATAATTTCCCTCTAACCTCAGCAGTCATCGGAGTTGCCAGTAACTTCACCTTCCTCAGTGTCATTGTGCTTTTTAGTTACCTGCAGTACATGTGGGGAGGACTGTGGCCCCCAGAACAGGTCAGAGTGCAGGTAAGACCTTCACTCCTTGTAGAGTTACACTGCAATCTGAATTTTTTTTTTCTTCATCTGAATTAAATTTGTTGTTTTTTTATGTTACGTTTGATATGTTAATGGTTTATTGATGAATAGCACTCTGAATGTTCGTGTATTTAGGTGATGATGGGAGACACAACCCGTCTTCAGCAGAGGCGAGAGGAGGCCCGGAGACGCATGCACACATCTGCCAGTACACCGAGTAAGAACTGTCTGCTATCTTAGCACTTCCAGAGTTAACAGAAGTCCAGACAGTACAATGTAAATGCTGTTCACTGTTGTTATACATTAACATAACCTTATATATGCTGTAACCTTGTAAATCTCTCCCAGTTATGAAGTACGAGAGGGAGAGAAATGCAACTGCAGACCAACCTCAAGAGCCAGAGCAAACTGCAGGTCTTAGAAATAAACGTGAGTTAATGTACATATGTATGCATGAACTGAGAGAACTGATTAAATGACCGTTTCGTTTTAAACATGTCTTTGATCAGTGCATGCTCTAACATCTTTGATATTTGTCCTTTTTGCAGGTGAGCTAGACCTGGTCAGTGTGATTGGTTCAGTTGGTGAACTCAGTCAGGACAGTGACAACGGTAAGAAAGTAAATCTCATGCACCTGGGAGATGGATCATTTATGGTCAGGAAAAAGTAGTATTTTCCATACTGTTTAAGTCTCACTGTGGTTAGATAAATTACAATTATTATAAAATTTTATAATACATGGTTTACAAAAGGCATGAATTATAAAGTGACTCTGCTATAAAAATGAAAATGCTTCATTTCATATGTAAAGTAGATCTATTAAAACGACAGGTAATTTTCAAAAAATGTAAATACGTATACAAATACATATACATGCAAATATATACAAATAAATGTGCAGGATATAAACATAAACCAAAAGGCATATCTGGATATACAGTAATAGGCTTAACTGTATCATGTCACAGATAATTTCCTGAAAAACCTGTTATTTTCTGAGGAGCACAATTTTTACAATAATAGCTCATTTAATAGGCATATACAGGCTTAGATTAGACAGTTTATGTAAAGCTAAGGGAAATACTTTCACTTACATCTTTGTTGATGCCTACAGTTCCCAGTATCTCCAAAGAGAATCCAAAGATTTCCTATTTTTATGTGAACATATTGAAGTTGTAAAAGTATTAGTATCAGAATACTGGCCTTTGTGTTGCTCAGTATCAGACTGAAGAGCAAAATCATCTGTATTTCCTATCATGCACACACATTATCATTATCATCTGACACATCTTCTCTTCCTGTACCAGCTGCTGAGTCCTCCACAGATGATGGTCTTGTGCTCATGGAGGCTCCACACACAGCAGAGATTGATGTGAATGAAGAACAGCCTGAGCCTGAGCCTGAGCAGTGGGCCACAGAAGTGAAGGGCATGGCCACTGACGTGGGCACATCCCAGCCCCAGCCTTCTGACACCAGCCTAAGACAAAGAAATGTACCCTGGATGAGCCTCTGAGTTCTCTCTGGATTGGGGTTAGACTCTCGGGCAATTTCAGGCATAAACCCGCACTCGCTTACTCATTCAGTTACATTTGTGTGCCTTGCGTCACTCCTATTGGGGATCAATAGCTGACACGCCCTGACTAGCAAGTACACGATAGACATTCTTTGTGTTGACCAATGTGGGCTTTCTTGTATGTATTTAAAAACAATTTACCTCACTGAGCTCGAACTCTTGCTTGCTCTTCAATTCTCCAGCTTTTCTGAACAACATTTCACAGGAAACAGAACTAACAGTTACATTTAGGCTAACTAGCTAGGAATGCTAAAGCACAGGTAGCATGCATACAGCTGTAACGGCTGCAGTCAATGTTGTTTTTTGTCCATGCGCACAAATCACACGGAGCTAAGTACACTCTCATATCTAGGGTGTAGATCATTCCACTTGAAATGAACAAGTGCAGCTTCCATTTTTTATCTAACAAATTTACTGATTTTAATTTATACACAAAAAAACATTAGGAGGGACCTGTTATGCTGTTTTTGAGGATATATACATGGCAGAGCTGCTAAACCATCACTGTTTTTTCACATCAGGATTGAAAGGGAATTATCTGTTACAGCTAGTAAAGAGTTAACTGTTGTATTACTATAGAGGATTTAGCTGCTGCATTTAATAGAGTCCATAAGGCCATGTAAAATAAAGTATTTCAAAGTGTGCTGTTAAGCAAATGAGTGCTTCACTGGCCCCTAGACATTTCCAATAAGTTTGCAGTGAGCATACTGACCAGTAACTGTTGAGTGTTTCATCGAGACTTATTTTTTGAATGTTTTGGGGGGAAAAGGGTTTGAATGAGGGACTTAAGGAAGTAGACACATTTTCCCAGGGCTACCTAAGTCAGCATTTTAGTAACAAAATATAGTGAAATGTTCTAAAATGCTTTTTAAAATCTTTAGAAACCTACTTTCTTTATTTTTATATCTCTTTTTTTTGCCACCACAACCAATGCAAATTGGCCTCCCTGGACAAAAATGTGGGCAGCCTGGTCTAAGAAGTTAAAACAACTGTATCGTTATCTGAAGGCTAATAAATGGGTACCACTTTACAATAAGTCTACCCTTATAAAGGGTTTACAAATGGTCTAAAATTTGTTTAATAATGGTTATTATTTTGGATTTTGAACAGCTTGAAAATCATTAATAAGCAGTTATGTCACATAAATAAAAAGGGAAGCCTGATGCTTGCCAAATAGTGAGCCCACAATTATCTCAGATTTTGCTGGTTACTGATCTTGTTTTCTATTTCAGTCTGCATTATCAGCTTCATCAGATATTCATATTCATCAGATACAACAGCTCACTCTTGAACTTTGTGTTATGTGGTAATATTAATGATTTAAGGTGTTTAATAACCATTAGTTGACTCATTTTAAACCGTTCATAAACAGTTTATAAGGGTGGTATTACTGTAAAGTGGTACTAGTAAATGCAGTCTAAACAGGATACGTATAACTATGTATAGGAAAACATACAAAGAGACAAGTAATGAATGTTCCAAAGATTGGAATTCTTTTTTTTCCTCTCGCCTGGATAATGTACATATTGTGTAATAGTACATTTGTGTTTGGTAGAATGTAGTAGTACTAATGTATGCTATTATATGTTTACATTTCTTATTTATTTAATAAATCTTAAAGTTGTAAATATGTATGGTTTTGTTACAAATGAAACCCTCTGTGGGAATCCTGTTATATTTTAAAATCCAGATACACATCTGGATTTTAGGCTGTGTAACACCTACTTCCCCACATCACTGAATTCATTAGAAAGTGATAACTAATGGACATTCGGCCTGCCTTACCGAGCATGTGGTAATGTCTAATGGGTTGTGAGATATGCAACCATGTATGAAGTGTGACATGTTAGTTTCCTTTGGGTTTCTGTCCATGTACACATAAAATGGGTGTGATATACATATAAATGTACTTGATTTAAGCTGACATTTTGCATTTTAGCTTCATATGCATTTCAGATTAAAGTGCTGGAGTGCAAAACTAAAACAACATAAGTAGTGTTACACTCTGGTTACAGACTGTACCTTCAGTCTTTTGGGCTCTGCTGAAGATAATTTGCTAATTTGAAACTGTAAATTTTGTCGCACCAACATTAGAATGTTCAAAGTAAAAATCAGGATAATCACATCTGGCCTGTTATAGTCTCATTTAAAAAAGAGAAATATTTTTCAAAAGTGTTAAGAGTCTCGTAATGAGTTTAATTGACCTTTTGCAAAATAACTGACATGAACATATCACGTTTATCTCTAAGCGCTATTTCTTCCATCAAGTGAAGGAAAACTCAGGGCAAACTACTCGCAGTGTAGAACCTGCAGTGAGAACGACAGTGACAGTAAATTAGAATTATTAGACTAAGAACAAGTGAAAAATTGGTATTGAGCAGCTTGTCACTCATGCACACACAGGTTTTTATTTGATTAATGAATCTGAAAAGGTTTTGGATTAAAATACATGGAAGACCTCTATCACAACTCTTATTAATAGATGTCCTCGATCCATGATTGCCGTGAGGTGAGAGTTAAAGATCAACTTTATCGAGTTAACCTGTTTTTGCTAACACTCTTTTTAGTACAATATATAATGATAAATGACGTGATTGATGGGATTGTTCAGTGCTCATATTTACTATTAAAACATGTGCAAAGATAAATATTAATGCATTTCGTATGCATGTCCATGTCTGTTGTTTCCCAGAATTCTACATCTGAGTGACTCCTCCTTTTTCAAAGCCCCTCCTCCATTTCACACCCTCAACAAGTGGAGGAAGCAAACTCATACTGTCACTCTGATCTGCAGTCACCATGCTCGTTGACTCAATAGAGAAGCTCTATGTTTTTGAGTGTGAACTTTCTAATCATTGCACTGTCCTAAAAGGGACAGTGAAGCCTGGACTAAAGGAATCATCACAGACAAACAACACAGCAGCAGTTGAAGATGATGGCTGCTAAAAACCCTCTTTCAGAAGAAGAGTTTTCATGTCCAGTGTGCTGTGAAATCTTCAGTGATCCGGTTATCCTGTCGTGTAGCCACAGTGTGTGTAAAACCTGTCTGCAGCAGTTCTGGAACACTAAAGGATCTCGAGAATGTCCAGTTTGTAGGAGAAGATCCTCAAAATCTGACCCTCCCTGTAACCTCGCATTGAAGAACCTGTGTAAGGCTTTCGTAAAGAGCAGGCATCAGAGAGCTTCAGAGGTGCTCTGCAGTCTGCACAATGAGCAACTAAAACTCTTCTGTCTGGACGATCACCAGCCTGTGTGTGTGGTGTGTCAGACTTCAAAGAAACATAGCAATCACACCTGCAGTCCAGTAGATGAAGCTGTACATGACTTTAAGGTATGAAACACATTCTAATACTGTGATAACTGTAATGTAACACATCCAAAATGTATAAAATCTTTCTCAGTTCAGAGCCCGATTACCCATTTTGACTGGCTGGAGGGGGCTAGCCTGTCAGCAGGAGCAGTTTCAGGTGAAGTCATAGACAAACTCATGGAACAATTGTCTCTTGTTTTAGTTACTGATCTATTTAAACTGATGATGTGCAACATCAAGGAAATTTGCACCATGTGTAAATATTTGAAACATGTTTGCCTGCATGGGTATTTGTCATTTCAACAGTGCTGATAGATAGAAATGATCTAGTTTAAAATGTTAAAATATCTATTAAAACATAATTAAAAGCATCAAGTTGAGCAGTTGAGTCAAGCCCACAACTGCCCAACTTTGATCTGCAGGCGAGGTCAGGAAGAAAGAAGCCTCTGCTCTAAAGAAAGAATATAGATCATTATAGATTTCCATACCATCTGTGAAGCATGGTGGTGGAAGCATTACGGTTTGGGGTTGCTTTTCTGCCTCAGGGTTTAGAATTCTATACCAGACAATACTTGAGGAGAATTTGAGGCTGTCTGTTAACAAGCAGAAAACTGAAGGAGCTTGCAACAAGACGACCACGCAAATCCACAAAAAATGTCTCGTAAAGAAGAAAAATGAGTTTTAAAATGGCAAAATCCCAGATCAGAAGAGGTTTTGTGAGGAAATGTTTTTGAATTTATTTACATGGTAGAAATTAGTGAAGATGTAATTTTCAAAGTTATTAAAACACATTAGATTATCTATCAGTATTATAGAAATGAATAGCAAATGCCCATAAATGCAATCAATACAGATTCTAAAATAAAAGTCCAGCTTTTCATTGTACATAAATGAAAAGGCCACCATAAATTTGGAGTAAACAGAATTGGCGAATGGCGCTCCTGTTTTTAGCAGTTATATACTCTGCAACACGCAGCACATTTATACAGTTACACTTAAATGCTGTAAAAGACATAAAATGCTCTCAAAACTTTTGTTTGATTACAGAAAAGCCTCCAGACTAATTTGGAGTCTATGCAAAAGAATCTGAAACTCTTAAAGAAAGCTAAAGGCACTTTTGAGAAAACAGCAGCCCATATTAAGGTAAAACTTTTAGAATTCTGAAGCATGCCTGTAAGATTATGTCCACCTACCCTGTCTGTCACTTACATATGTCTAATATTCCAGACACAGGCCCAAAGCACAGAGGAGCAAATAAAGGAGGAATTTGAGAAGCTTCACCAGTTTCTAAGAGATGAAGAAGCAGCAAGGATAGCTGCACTGAAGGAGGAAGAGGGGCAAAAGAGTCAGATGATGAAAAGGAAGATTGAGATGATAAACGGAGAAATATTATCTCTTTCAGACACAGTTAGAAATCTTCAAAAGGATATGGAAACTGAGGACATTCCATTCTTACAAGTAAGAATAACTCACTCACTCTCATGCACAATAAATGGAAATAAAACCTTCTTTTCTATGTGTATCTCCTTAACCTCCTTATCTCCTAAACAAATGCTAAGAGATGAAATTTCACATTTGGTGGCTCTATGAATAAAACAACAAACAAGCTAAATATTTTAGTGTCACTAGTGTAATTTGGGAAAATCATTGTGAAAAAAACAATCACAGCAACTTTTCCACTTTTTTATGAAATGCATTTGAAATGCATTATTTTTTACATTGAATGTTCTCTTTGTTTCTCTCACAGAACTTTAGGTCTACAATGAAACAGTAAGTAAATGCCATATCATCAATTTAAGCTGATTATTAAAATCATTTTGCCTGTTCAGAGCAAGCCTATATAGTCAACATGAATTGGAAGGCATTATACATTTTCCATTTTCCAAATTTCCAGGAAATATGGGGGGGGGTTTCTGAATGTACAGTATTAGGGAGGGTCTCTAACTTAACTCAGCACTTTCTCTTCATGATAGGTAGGCTAGTTGGAGCGGGAGGTGAAATATGATTCATATTATAATTCCCACTTGCTGGTGCACAGTTACATCATAAAAATTCAGATGATGTTTTATAGAATAGGCAAAGGTCATGACATTTTGATGAACAGGAATTTTGGCTTTTTAAATGATATAATACGATGAATCGTGCTTAATATGACCAGCGACATGAGCTAATCTAGTAAAAAGTCAGCTTTGATTTTAGGTTGACTGTAATCTGTGGTTGGAGTGTTTTACGAGAGACTGTGTGAACTCTCTGAGCTGGAGCCCCTTTAAAGCACTGAAACAGGCACAGAAGCCACATAGAGGGATCAGGGAGCAATGGGGTAGTGGTTGGTTTTGAAAGGTTTGTGGCAGGAAATAGACGGTGAGAGATAAAGATGTACAGGAAACAAGACAGGAGAATAAGTTTCAGGCATGGTTTTCACACAAATAACACCATATTTGTTACATCTACAAAACAGAACTTATGAAATAAATCATGGTTAAAAAGGAATGTGGGCAAATGTTATAATAATTTGAATAAGAGTAATAATAGTGGTGGTGCTGGGAGAGGGAGTAGAAATATTTGTGTTACTAAAATACTGAGTGGATATAAACCATAATTTGCTTGCTCATATATTTAGAGTTCACTGCATACTAAAAGATCCAGTGAAGGCATCAGGTGCTCTGATCGATGTTGCAGAACACCTTTCCAACCTGAAGTTCAGAGTGTGGGAGAACATGCAGGAGATTCTCCAGTACAGTAAGTTTTTTTTTTTGGTTGATCTAACAAGTACAGCCTGGTTTTAGACTGATGTGAATTTTAACCATGTCAAGGTTTGTTGTCTGAGTTTGGGTACTTGCTTTGGCGTAGTGCAGCTAAATTTCAGTCGTAAGAAAATCTGTCCATGTAAAAAGTCACACCAAGCCTGATGTGGCTCAACAGAGCAGACTGAAATGTTTTACAGGCCACTCTGTTCTAAAATAATTAGTAAAGTATTCATTCTAGTCAACATTTTGGACCTCTAATCTTCATTACTATGTCTGCCACTAACTACTAAAACGAATGTAACATCAATGAAGCTGTAGAATTCAGTTGTAAATTAGCAGGTTTTCACTGGAGCCACATCATAAACCTGCACAGAGCAGATAAGTTCCTGAAAAAATGTAGCTGGTGATACTTCATTAACCTATTGGTGCATGAATGAACAAATAGGAATAGAAATATACCAGTTTAACTGTAAAAAATTAGGGTGTGTTGGTTCCATGTGGATCACCATTAAATCATGTTTTTTCTCACAAAACAAGCCTTTTTTATATAAATGAGCAGTTCCCTGTAAAATGCAATTAATAACTTAATATTTAAAAATTAAAACAATTTAACCCCTAATTGTTGTATACAGTGCTGTGAAAAAGTACATCTTATGAAAAGATGTGATTTTGACAAATTTGCATGTATTTAACAGTTTCATTAGTCAAAGGTGAACTGATGTAACAGTGAACAATGAAACATAAATATTTTTGATTTATTCAACAGAAAATGTACAAATTTCAGATTTCTGCTATGGAAAATGTAGTACACCCCATAGCTTCGATAGCTGATATTGCCTTTTTTTGGCAGAAATCATTTTTTGTAGCCATTTTTTTTGCAGTTAGGGGTCCAAGTCCCAAAGGTGCTGGATCCCTATTGTTTTTGCTCAGTTTTGTATAAATTATTGTGCTGTGCTAAGACCAAACCGTAAGACCTACAGACATGAAACCTAGTCAAAAGGTAGTACTCGCTGCCGCTACTCAGGTACACGAGACAAGCCTGAGTGGCCTGTAGGGGGCACTGTGGCGTAGTGTATTCTATTTTGGCCAATACGCTTGTATGCTTGTATGCATACAAACATATGACTTTTGATGAAAATTCATCAAAAGCTTAAAACACTCCCCCACTACAAGCCCCCCCCCCCATTTTTTCAACACCTACTTTGGTGAACTTGAACCTCAATAGTTAACAAACAATATTAATATTTGTAAATAACATCCTTCTAGTTTAGAGCATTGTTGACTAAAACAGCTGTAACTCATGAAGAATTTGTCCTATTTTTAATGAAACTTGAGATGCTTGTGTGTAAAAGAATCTGAGGTAGCTTGGCATTTTTGGCACTTGTGTGTCAATAGAGGGTGCTATAAAACTAAGCAGCTGCCTCTCAGTATCTGTACATCCGATCAAGCTGAGATTTTGCATACAGCTTACTTTTTACTGAGATTTTAAAGATGACTTAGTCAGAAAACCGTGGCCACAATCAGCCAATCAACTTTCAACAGGCATTGACAGGCGTAATGTTGACCAGTCATCATGAAACTTGAATGCTGTGTTTATGTAGGGACTCTTTATTACCCGATGAAATTTCAAAAGAATTGGCCGCTGAGAGGCGCTGCTCAATTTTCCAATAATCTAATCTAATGTGACACTGGATTCAAGTAATTGATTTAGTGATTTAGTGAGCCTAATAACTTTACACTTAAAGTGTTTTCATAAAATGTGTTTATTCTCTCATAAATTATTTAAAAAACAGCCCATTTGGAACCAGTCTTAGGATCTTGATCCAATCATTTCAAAATTGGTCTTAAAATAATCTCTAGCATCTGTAGGTAAATAATTATCAAAAAAAACATTTTGCCCACCATTGTTGCTGTATATTACTTAATTATTACAGCATTGCCAATTCTGAATTAAATTACTAAAACTTGAAAATTGCTGGTCTCATCATCTCAAAAATTAAATCAGTAGTTTGAATAGAGACTCAGATGAGACTTGCAAAATTTGATCCAGATTAGCCCTCAGGGGGCACTACAATGTACAGTGAGACTTAATTAAATAATTGCAATTTAATTGACCTAATTTCTTCTTCCTACAGATAAATAACAGCACGTGATTCATTTTTTTTAAACAGAACATATTTGCAATCACTAGTTATGTCAGAAATTTAAATACTTGTCTAGCATTTTGACTTGATTTATTCAAAGTCTGCAGCTTAGTGTACCAAAGTCAAAAGGTCAGTCTGTACTAAACTTGGTCAACAATCATAGCATTGAAGGACCTTTGATAAAGTCTGACTCCATATCCACGGTATTTCCATGAGATTAGGATCTGGGCTTTGACTTTGCCATTTCTTAACTCAAACATTCTTCTTTGAGACATTCTTTTGTGGATTTACTTGATCATTTTGCATCACTGTCTTGTTGCAAGGTCCACTGGCTGAACGGTACTGCTTCTGCCAACATGATCAGCGTGACACAGCATTAAGACAGTTGGTTGTGACATGCAGCTTTGGTGCAATAGAGGAGTTGAACAAGTTGAAAAGACAAACTCCACACTCCTAAAAGAGCACCAGCCCCTGGAAGAGCCATTGACTCTAGAAAAAGCCCTGACAATCCTCTGCCAGATCACTGTATGCTTCAGCTTTTTGACACAAGGCCTCACGTTCTCCTCTTGTACTCTCTGGTATAATACAGAATTTATGGTTGATGTTATGATGGCAAACTGGCCAGTTCCTTAGCCAGAAAGGTAGCCCTGAACCATAATGCTTCCAACACCATGCTTTACAGTTGGAATGATGTTCGAATTTTGGTAAAGCCAGGGCGGTCAGTGTGTGTTCACCATTACAGTATTCAAGAGCTGTATTCTTTGGAAGTTTGGATGTTACCACATTTGCCAACATGGTATGTTGCAGCATTAAGAGAGTTGGTTGCAACATGCAACTTTGGTGAAATGTAGGAGGAAATGATTTGAGGGCAATTTGTTGAAAAGACAAGCTCTGAACCTTCCTTTGACTCTGGAAAAAGCCATGACAATTACCTGCCAGAGAGAGACTGTGACTGTGTAAGTAATGCATCCAGGTTCTTCAGACTACACAGTGTGAGTAGTTCAGGGGGGTATTTCACAAAGCAGGATTTCTCAGTTAAACTGAGAAATCCTATTTTGTGAAAAACCTCCCGGCTGGCTGACGGCATAGTAAGCAAAATACAGAAGTAAACTACAGGTGTGGCTCAGACTAACAGGCCAATTTTGTGGTTGTCCAAAATGTGAAAATTAACCCCTTAAAATCTCTGGCTTGTTACATACTAAGGCTTATTATTCAGTGACTACAGGGACTTCAATGCAAACTGTCTGAACTATTCTTAGGTTATAGAAGTGAGTAAGAAACCTCTGGGCCCACCAAATCAAAATATTTTTTACATCGGCACTGACAGTGAGCTAATGCTAGGCAGTTGCTCTGCTGTACCTATTCTGCCTAGTTCAAAGCAGTTGTGCATTTTCTTTTTGTGTTGCATTAAACCACTAGGTGGTGGTATAGTGCACAGAGAAAGCCTGATCAGAAGAAGAGAACTGTGGGGAACATATAAGTACTTGCACGGTTTGCATTTCATTTCCAAAATTGCATACATTTGCATTGAACTGGACATCATTATATTGTAACTTATATTGACACTATATTGGATTACTTTGAAGTCAAATGAATGAGAAAAATGCTGGATTGGAAATTAGATCTGAAAATCCAAGTCAGCAATGATCAGCAAAATTTAGCAAATAAATTGTCTGGACCTAGGCTTCGATTTCCTCTTTTAAAAGCTGATTAACTTAAACTAAAGTTCAGCGAAAAGTAGCCTGTAGAGGTGAACCACTTACATACCATAAGTATGTGTAAACCTGATGTTTTGTTTTATTTTGTTCTTTGCCCTCAGCCCCGGTTACTCTGGACCCCAACACTGCCCATTCAGACCTCCACCTGTCTGGTGATCTCACGACTGTAGATATCAGAACACATGAACAGTCACTTCCTGATAATCCTGAGAGATTTGACCAGTACATGTGTGTTCTGGGTTCTGAGGGCTTTAACTCAGGGGCACACTGCTGGGACGTTGAGGTTGGAGACGGCGATTACTGGATACTGGGTGTGATACCAGAGTCTGCGCCAAGAAAGTCGTACTCTTCCTGGAGTTCAGTGTGGTGTCTGAGCTCCAGTAAAACTCACAATAAATACCTGACATACTGCCCAGGAGAGCCAGATAACCATCTCTCACTGGAAGAGAAACTCCAGAGGATCAGAGTGCATCTGGACTGGGACAGGGGTGAAATAACATTTACTGATCTACTAACCAGCACACACCTGCATACCATAACACACACTTTTACTGAGAGAGTGTTTCCAGTTTTCTGTAATGCCAGTGCTGTCAGCCCCCTCAGGATCTTACCGTTAAAGATATCAGCTTTTTAACAGCATTTCCAGTATATGTACACACACTCTAGCATGAACTTTCATTGAAAAATTTGTAACATTCATCTTTCCATGTTGTTCACATGTGAGCAATACCTTCTCATTTGTATTCACAATCCTTAAGATCCTGATCATTTATATGCTGCGTTAAACCACACGATTAACAGAGAAGAGCAGATTAAATGGTAGAAATAGCCAGCTTTTGCATCAACCTGGAAGCGTTAACCATGTTACAGAGGTAGGCAAATGTTAGGGGTTTTGCTCATTGACTCTAACTGATATAGAGCAGCGTGCTTGGTCTAGCTGGGGAAATCAGCTTTGTATTCAGAATGTACAAGGAACATTGGTAACATGGGCCTGGATGAGTCGTGATTATGCAATGTCATACTTTAAATACAATTATTTTAAATATGTTAGGGCCTGCTGTCATTCCTGCCTACTGCTGGTGTGAGCTTGTGTGCCAGGTTGAAGTTCAGTTCAGTTTACCGTTCACCAACAGTGTAAACCATATTCAGACCTTGCTGTGAGCATGCAAGACTGGAGTTTATGCTCATTTGGAGCCAGGAAGTTATTGAAACTAGATGCATACCTACCCAATTGCTATGGAATACTGTGTATAATATATGGTTTATTATGCTGCTTTGGTAATGTCAGTGCATAGCTGGGGGAAAGGCACCACATGGTAGGCTTTTCCAGTTTGTTTCCTTTTTGGTTTGCAAGAGTAAATGTAATTACCTAAATAAGGTACAAGAATATTTGGAAATCTGTTTTTCATTTTGTGTTTTCAGTTTTACAAAACATCAATAAGAGAACTGGAAAAAAAAGCACACAAAGCAACGTAAGATGTTTTCTCTGTGTGTTTATCTGAGGCCCAAGATTTCTGTGTGCCAAGAGGAAATAAACTTGATGGATGGATGGATGGATTGGCAAGGGTGATTAATAGGGCACACCACTTTCTACTTGTAAAGATGTTACATTTCATGAAAATGTTCTGGTGGGCCTTTGACGCAGCAGTCATATTTGGCCAGCAGGTGGCTCTGCAGGACTTTTATCTACTTTTTGCACCTGAAGTTTCCAGCCCTGGTCCTGGAACTACAAGAGGAGGTTAAACATCACCAGATACTTTATGTCTTTCTGTATTTCTGTATGTCTGTGTACATCATAGCAGTGTGGACAGTGGTCCTGGGTGGAAACGCTTGTTGCCCAGCTCTATGTACAGCACTTTATGGTAACACATGTTGCTTTAAATGTACTTTACAAATAAAAATTGCTTCCTTACTTCAGGATGGCAAGTTTCCTGCAGAAAAGCAGCACTGGACCAGAATTTAAGAATTGTTTCTGTTTTCTCAGAAAGTCCAGCTGTAGAGACCACTGAAAATCCCAGGCATTATTTACTGTGTAGATTAACTGTATGAACAAGGAGCACACGTCCCACCTTGCACCACAGCGAGGGAACAGCTGAAAAGAAATTATACAGTTAACCACAAATTTAATGTCCTTTAATTATATTTATATACTTGATTATACTTGATATAATAGAATTATACTTAATTAGTACTTGTTTGTTTGCATATTGTATATTGGCTTTCAATTCTATATTTAATATTCGTAAGCTTTGTCTCTTTTTCAAACCACAAAAATTGAAGCCTAACCTACAACAGTGTTTAACCTGTAGCCTTATCATCCACTCCTGCTGTACAGACTGTGCCAAAGTGCTCAGGCTACTACAGTATAAGATGCTCTTTGTGGGGTGCGTTGAAGACGCCACAGTTAAAGTCAACCTGAAATCCAAATGGATCTTTTTTTATCTTGTTAGTTCATGTCGTTGGTCATGTCAAACATATGAGTGTCATATCATTGGAAAACCACTTTTTTTCTGTAATCTTTGTACATGTCTACTACTTTTTAAAGTCTGCACTCAATATATGTACACTACATTTTTAAGTATGCATACTACATTTTTAAGTATGTACAGAGTACTCACAGTACTTTTAAAAAAGCACACAGCACACATTGTGTATTCAGTTCTACACAAAGTATGCATACCTATTTTTCAAGTATGCATACAATGTGAACACTTTTTTAGATACACGTATTACTTTTTAAAGTATTCTACCTGTTAAAGGATAGTAGACCTCGCTACATTTTTAAGTATGCACATAGTATACATGCATTATTTTTATATATGCATACTACTATTTTAAAGTTAGGTTAAGTTCAAAACTCCAGTGGAGTTCTTTCTGGAGGGTCTGGATTTCATGTGTGGGACTAACATCTCCTGTTTCGGTACAATGGACAGTGTGGACAGTAAACTTCTAACTTCTGAAGAGTAAGTCAGACATAAAGTCACAAGCAGGATTTGGAAGTCAGAAACATTTTTCAGGAGCTGAAGTGATCTCCATGTAATATCTGATCTCTGAACATGGTTGCTATACTTAGTGTTCTCTCTCTGCTACAGAGCTCATAATGCATGAAGCTCTTTGTTATAATCAGGATTTGCCACTGATCCTCATTCAGGTAGGTGTAAGATGAGTTGTCATTGCTGGTTGTTTAGATTAAAACATTTCTATCCACCCTGTTGACTCTAACTTCATTCATCTCTTTGCTTGTGCTGAGTTGTGCTGAGGCAGTTAAAACAGTAGGAGTCAGTCGTGCACAGCAGGTTAGACCTGATCTCAAACTGTTCTGTTTATCCGTTCTTCTTGGAAATTGTAGACGGTAAAAATATGCATTAACTTTTCAAAGTCTGACTGACAGCACCCAGTCAAGGTCTTATTTTGAGACCTGGTCTTATTTATCTTACTGATAAACTGCTTTTTTAAAAAAATTCTCAGGCGCTCAAAACATTTGCACAGTACTGAGAATCTGTCTATTCAGCTTAGTCTAGCAGTTTAGGCCCCACTCATTCATGTTGAAGTTATAAGGAGTGTTTCAGCCCAGGCCACTTTTGGAATGAAGCACAAAACAGGGCCAATCAGATCGGAGGTCATTTGCATATATCAGTCTTAAAGTCGCATGAATAATACATCCTGTTTAATTGTATGAGATCTAAAAAGAGGCTCTAAAATGGTCGTAATTGTGAATTATGCCTGATTTTGGTAAGCAGACTCAGAGGGAAAAAATAAAACAAGTAAAATGTGGGATATGGGTCTTCTAAAACATACAACATTATGGAAAAATGAACGTCTTTGATGCTTATGGACATAGAGCATCACATCAATTTGCTTATTGTGGAGTATCCAGTGGTCAACATCTTGTTTAAGGCATCCCCTCACTGGCCTTGAGAAGTCTTACCCATTGTCAGAGAAGTGCCGCATTACACACTGCAGCACCTCTCAACTGGCCAAGTCTTATCAAATTTTGTCTTAAAGAAGGCAAAAATATATCTGGATTTCTGACACAGGGGCATTCAAGAACCATCACATCCAACAAACCTTTATACAAGATTATATTAGAAGTATTTTTAAACTGCTGTTTCAAGATAGAACACAAATAATGCAGTGTCAAATGCTGGCACACGTACCGATACTCAATTGATGCAAATATACTGTACAATGATGAAAGATAATGTGCTGGCAATAATGTGAACACCCTGCACAACCTCCTCTTCCGCTTTCAGTCCCTATCACAAGTATGCATCTGTTTCAGGGATTTATTCATCTATGAAGACCTTAAGTCTGAGTTGAATGTTTTGTGAACCCCATTAAGGTCCATCTTAATGGGGTTCCCCTTGGGTCTCCTCTGTAGACTGTAAGTGAAACACCAACCTCAGGTCCTTGTACATCCCCTTCCATGTTCTTCCATCTGGAAACCATATTGTCAGTGCAATAAGGACTGGGACATGGAGCCAGTAGAACAAGATGTTGGGATACAGTTTTGTCACCACACCATACTGGGGAGTTGGCTGTAATTCCTGATAAAGGATCTACTGCCACATATTTTCCTTGTTGTTCTGAAAAATAAATACTAGCAGAAAGAATGAGTTACCCCTCCCTCAGCCTTGTAATGTAGAACTAGACAAACAACCCCTTTAACCTAGTATTACAGTGTAACCAACACACAACTGGGCAAACAAACATACAACAAGTAGGTTTGTGAAGTTCGTGTCACTTGTCATCCAATGCCACACTTGGCCATTTACTTGTGTGTTGTTCTTTGCTTTTTTCACATTTATTTTGAGGCCTGCTCTTTTCAGAATGGCTTACAATTTGTGCTTAATCTCTTCAAAGCATCCTGCATGTCACAAAACGTTTTGTTCAGCTCAGAATACTGAGATGATTTTGGAGATGCTTGTTTCAAAATAGACATACACTGTCTAATGTCCCTCTTGAATAGCATACAGCGACCTCATCAGAGTCTGTAGTTGGGGGTCTCAGTATCTTTAGCTGTGTGCCCCTCGCTTCTCCTCGGAAATGCTTTCCTGAGCAATGCAACAATACAAGGCTTTTGTGATTGTCTTTATAACTACATACTACATAGTTACCTTAAGGAACCTGTAAATCACACTCTCAATTCCTGTTATTTATATCTACCATAATCATGTCTGGCATCATAATTTAAATTTGAATGTCTCACTGCTTCAAACACCGCGACACTACTTCAAGTTCAAATTTCACCTTAACACTGCCACCGTATCTGGTATAAACCATGCTACTTAAAGTTGAAGCAGCACTATTAAGATTATTTTGTTAAAATTGAAAGAAGTTGTGTTACTAAATCAGGAGAAAAAACATGCTTAATTATGGTGTTCATGCAGTGTTGAGAGTCACCTTGTAAAGCCTATAGTAGTAATTCAAACATCAGAGTGTTGGGTCAGATTTGGTGGGACTTTTTTATATCTTTACACATAATGTCACATGTATAGGCTCAGAAAGAAGATTTTAGGTCTCAAATACAAAATCAGCATTATGCTGATGAAAATATGATGACAATAGTAGATAATTCACTCACATTCTCAGAAGACACATCCCTCACCAACTTTTGACTGAGTTCTCTTTGAATCCTCTTTCAGTGCATTCACAATCATCAGATTCATCTGCTTGGGAAAGGAGTCTGAAGCACAGCTGACAGTGAAAAACATTTCTCTGCACATTGTGTGTAGTTTCCACCAGAGAGGTCCTAAATCCATACAGTGCTTTAATATTATGTTTAGTCTAAAGAGAGCCACATTAGTTCAGGCTCAAAACAATATGGATAAGAAGTTAAAAACACTGCCACATACATCGAGCATAAAGCACACTGCATCAGATTTACAGCTTAACTTATTTTAGGCTAAACAGTGCCACAGTACTCTGGGTTGGAGTCACTTTAGAAACTTACAAACACACAACAACATGAGCTTCATTTACTTTAGAAACTTATCACATACAAAACAGCATAAAC